TTGTGACATTCCATTTCACTGTGCTGAATGTTCATAGCGTAGATTGATAGGGCTTTTGGCCTCACTCTGAGCTGTATCAGAATATTGGTGGTTAGCAGCAGTGAAATTAATGAGCCCACCACTCTGCCTCATTCTCCACTTCCCTCTTTAAATGGTAATGATAGTGACACCATTCATGTTACTGTGGGTAAGCATTTTATGAGAAAAACCAGTGTTTTTTCCAAGATTAATATTTCACCTATAAAACCAGTCTACAAATTTAAATTAGAAAGAAAAGATACAAACCAATAACACTGATATTGTAAGCTTGAGAGTAAAATTGAGAAACAATAAAAACAGGGCAACCATGTCATGTAGTGCAGGTTGGACACTGAACAATTCCAGAGAATGCGATTCACATAGAACTATACATCATCATTTTCATTTTACTAATTAGTTTAAGCAACTTACAAGTAACTCAGGAAATAAACTACAGTTGTGATAGGATAAAATTCAATTGATGAATAAATACTTTAGAAATAGGCTGGGCATGGTGGCTCATGCCTGTAATCCCAGCACTTTGGGAGGCCAAGGTGGGCAGATCATGAGGTCAAGAGATTGAGACCATCTTGGCCAGCCTGATGAAATCTCGTCTCTGCTAAAAATACAAAAATTAGCTGGGTATGATGGCATGCGTCTGTAGTCCCAGCTACTTGGGAGGCTGAGGCAGGAGAATTGCTTGAACCCAGGAGGAGGAGGTTGCAGGGAACCAAGATCGCACCACTGCACTCCAGCATGGCAACAGAGTGAGACGCCATCTCAAAAATAACAAATAAAAATAAAGTGCAATAAAATTATAGATGACAGGTAAAGTCAAAGAAAATTCATCTCTTGTGTTGAATACTGGGTATGACAGTTCAAGCAGGGACAGCAGCTACTAAAGGTGGTATAAAAGCTGACGACTAATGGACTGAAGGTTTACATTGCGTAATATAGGAGTGAGAGTTCACAGGAGGATTATTTCTTCTACGCTTTAATTCCTATATTTGTAACCAGGAAGTAAAGATTTTTTTTATAGCTGAGGCTTGGGCAGCAGGCAAGGTGCATCAATTGCTCTGAGCCATTGGAATTAACTAAATGTGTTTATTTAGAGACTAATTCTTCCATCATGACAGATGGTGCACCAAATATGGCATTGTCTGTTGTTTAGAGCATACTTTCTGGGCTTCAAGTTTTTATTGAGGCCATGATATCAGGTGCTCTAAAATTTTACTCCTTAGTGGTAACAAATTAATTTTAAGCATCTTTCTTTTGTAATTGGAGGCAATTTCATTGAACCACATATAAAGGCCATTATAATTAGGATCTATCAACTGAAAAGAATAATAACATTTTGCAGAGATTGCCTTTCCTCTACTACATTCTTTTAAATTCTCAAACATCCATTTGGGTTTATTTATTGGGTTTCCCCACTAAAGATATAAATAAGATTGCCTTTGTTTGGCAGCTGAAAATAGTTCAGCCAAGAAGAAAGAGCTGAACCCGGAGGGAAGGAGAATGAAGAAAGAGTCTGGGGCATGGTGAGCTGTGCTGGGGTCCTAGGGAATCTCAGAGACTGGCTTCCCTGAGAAAGGTAGCTGGACATTCCAGACCAAAGGCCATCCCAAGGGTGAACACCTGAACTCCCACGGAGTGCTTGTTACTCTCTGAAATGCCTGGGGCTGCAATAGTCACAGGAATGACCAGGGAAAGAGGATACAAATCATGACTTTTTACACATTAGACCTTGAGGTCCCAAAGGTAGGACTGTGCCGCAGCCTTCTTTTTTACCGCATGCCTGGGAATATTCCTTGCACCTGGTGGCTGCTTAAGGCAAGTTTTTTAAATGAATGAATTAAATACATGATTGTGTTTCCACACATTGTGTCATTTGATTCTCACAACAGGCTCCCTTGAATTTTATTTTAATGAGTACTACCGAACACCAAGAAGGCTGACAAATATAATTAAAAGAATGTCTCTGGCATCCAATAGGCATCTAAGTTGCCAGTGTACGATGGACACACAAAGGTATGCGGAATCAAAACTGACTGAATCTAACTTTGTGGGATGTAAGGGAATAGTGCAGGGACAGGAGGAAGGATTTGCAGACTAACACTGAGTATACCTGGAGTCTTGAAATGTGAGCAAACATTCTTTATAAGTAAAGGAAATTATTTCAGGAAAGAGGCTCCATGTCAGTGCATACCTAATCACCTGGGGAGATTGCATTAAAATGCGGATCATTCTGATTCAGCAGATCTGGGGTGGGATTTGCAATTTTGCATTTCTAATAGGTCTTAGGTGATACGGATGCTGCTGTTCTGTGAACCGTACTTTGAGTGTCAAGACTCCAAAAAAGTCACATTTAAAGAAATATAAATAATCTATCACAGGCAGATCATTGTCTCCAAAGTGAGGGGCATGTGTCCCGTGGGACATGCAAGGTGGGCGTGGGAAGGAGGTATCACAGCTTCTTTTATTTTCATGTTAACTTCCAAAAGTTTCTATTTTTGTTTATGTTTAGCAAACGTGACATATTTAAGTGATAAAACATGTATAAGACAAACAAAATCATATATCTATATTTGAGTACATGTTCAACTTTTTACTTAGGAGGATGTTAATGCTAAAAGAACAAAATGAGGAGTGTAGGCAGAATTGGTGCAGTGCCCGGGAAAAGGCAAGGCATAGATTGCTAGCTCATTTTTCAGAGGAAGATACTGAAGCTCTGAAATGTCAACTGATCTGCCCAAGTTCACAAAGCTGAGGCCTGAATACAGACCTTTTGACTCCAAGTCTAGTGCTCTTTCCTCTCCTCTGTGCTTGGACACTTGGCTAGAGAACAGAGCCATAAAACACATGAAAGCACAAGGGGAAAAACTTCACATACAAATGCACTTTTCTTCTGACCTCCAATAAAACACAAGCAGAAAAGGAGAGTTGCAAAAGCCAGATTGTCTTACATAAGCATCTCATTTGAGATAAAACCTTCCTTGCTTGTGTCATTAATCACCTTACCTCTTCCTTTCCTCTAGGAATCCCTGGTGACGGTGCAACCCAAGCTATTTTGTGTCTGTATTGCAGCTATCTCAAGATCAATTAGTATTTTTCACAGAGCTGTCATGTAGGAAGACGATAGGGGATGCAGACAAAGTCAACTGTTGAGAGGCCACAGTGTACAGTTGAGTAGCCTGTGAGGACACTGACACAGCCTCCTGACATCTTATGGTGTCAGCTGGAGCTTTGAATATGGTCATTTATGATTTTATGGTAATGGAAGAATGAAACCATAAACTAGGGAGCAGGGGTAGAGAGTGACATTAGCCATCGAGGTACTTGCTTTGTTAGCTGTCTTGCAAACAAGATGAATTCTATTTTAACATTGCAAAAGGCCTTTTAGCAAGTCACCTCCTGAGAGGTGTACTACAGATGTACTGGATTTGCCTGCCCAGCAAATGGAAAACAAAAAGCACATATGCAACATTAACAATTTAAAAATATTTGGAATGCATGCTTGTGCTCTCCTTTGCCTCTGTATCCAGAACTTTCTCTTTTGTTATTTTTGTTACTTAAGCCCTGCAGGCATTGGAGGTTTGAACTTGCAAGATATTCAACTCCTTCCAAGGGCTGACTTGACATCTCTGACTAGACACTTCTCAGGGAATACACCCTTATAGGTCCTTTATCATTTTGTGTGTTGAATCGTTCTTTAATACCTCTCCAACATGATTATGCACCCCTCTAAGTAATTTATTCTTGATTGATGGATTGATTCACTCACTCAGTTATTTGATTATTAACTTTAGCCAGTCAGCTGTATCTGGTACCTACTAAGTGCTGATCATGGTGAGAAATGTGGGAGAAATAGTATAACTGCCACCCTCACCTACAAAGAGTCCCATTCTAGTGGGGTGGCAGATAAGGAGGTAATCACAGTCCAATGGGATGCCTGCTGGCATGGAATAGAACCAGTGATGGAGCGAAACTGGTTTTTGGTTTCAGGTCTTGCATTTGTTAGCAGTGGGAGTTGGTATTTCCAAAGGGCTTTGTGATTTCTGGAGACACCAGCAAATGCAATAATAGAGGAGAGGAAAGTGGGATTTACTGAATATTGAACTGGATATAACTATATTATATATAAATATATGCACACATACACATGCATGTATATACACACATATATGTATAGATATACTTACATATATAAGGACACATAATACTTATATCAGAAATCTAAAATAGTTAAACTCACAAAAGCAGAGAGTAGGATGGGGGTTGCCAGAGATGAGGCAGAGCAGGCCATGGCAAAGTGATGGTTATGGATGCAAAGTTTCAGTTATGCAAGATAAATGAATTCTGGAGATCTGGTATTTAGCGTAACACCTATAGCTAACATACATATATACATATATGCATAGGTACATATTCACATATCTACACAGACATATATGCACACATACATAGACATGAAAAATACACATAAATAACAGTAAATATATAAAAATGTATTTTTCTTTATGGCAAGAACATTTAACATAACATCTAGTCTCAGCAATTTTAAGTATACACTATATTATTTTGAGTTATAGGAGCTATGCTGGCTAGCAGATCTCTCAAGCTCATGTATCTTGCGTAATTGAAACTTTGTATCCTTAACCATCACCTCCTCATTTCCCCGTCTGCTTCATCCCTAGCGTCCTCCATTGTACTCTTTGCTTCTATGAGTTTGACTAGTTTCGATTTCACGTATAAGTGAGATCATAAAGTGTTTATTTTTCTGTGTCTGGTTCATTTCTCCTAGCATAACATTCTCCAGGTTCTTCCATATTGTTGCAAGGATGTTTAAAAACAAAATTTTCTTCACAGCTATCCTGAGGCATTAATATTTCCCTCTTACAAACAATTAGATTAAAATGTAGAAATTCTGAAAACTTGCCAGAGTTACTCTGAATCCATACAGTTTTGGCTCCGAAGCCAGCATTTCAGAAAGCATTTCCTTAGAATGAACACATGAAGCTGAGTTCCTAGCACCTTCCCATAAAGATTTTAATTGAGCTTATAGTAAAGAAGCGCCGTAGTTGCTCTTGCAAGTTTTCTTGAGTTATGGGAGCTACTTGCTTTCTTCCTTTTGCACCCAGATCTTAGATTCCAGATTCCAGATTCCAGATCCTTTCTTAGATTCTGGGTCCCAGACTTTTTTCTTAGATTCTAGGTCACTGTAGAAACGCAGCACTGTTCTAACTCCTCTCCCGGGAGCTAATCTCGCAATGAAGGGACTACTCAGCCAGGTCAAGGAGTGACTGCCAAGGTAGCAAATGTTTCCAAGTTAGTGATTCCCTTTTAGAGCAGCATTTGGGTCTTAGACAATTCACTTTCAAAGATTCAGAAATCACATTTTTAAATGTCAAGAGGGCATGCATTGTATTATGCCATGAATTGCTCAGTAGCCGTGAACCTGACATGTTGAAAAAGCATTTTCATGGGCAAGAGTGGAAAGGAAGAGGAGTTTCAACCTAATGACAATTTCAGGGTTTTACATACTAAATGTATGCACTCTCACGTCTGAGGTTTGAGAAGCCCACTTACTAGAAGGAGAAGGAAAGGAGGGGCTCAGTGAGGCATCAAAGCCCTTTTCATTTTCCCAGCCAACAGAGAATACAGTTTTTCTCCCATAACTCTTAGACCACCAGCTTGCCCCAGGGCATCTCAAGCTGTTTCAATCTAGCCTCCAATCTTCCTCTATTTGGTGAACGTGTAAGTGTGGAAAAATGGTGTCTCCACAGAAGGCACCCTGCTCGCTTGGGTTTACAGTATCTTAGGTACTTGTGGTACATGATGCTCAAGTTGGAGAGCAGAACCATCCACACCAGAAAGTCATACTGTCTTAGAGAAAAGTCTTGGGGCCTGGACTGGCGTCACTTCTAGTGGTAAATTGTGGATGAGATGCTGGAAGCCCACAAAGGCAAAGGCGAGTCTTCACTTGCTGACAAAACAAGGAATAGTGAGAGTTCCCTGGTCCCTGGGAGCTATGGTGGGAAAGCTCGTAGGATGAATGCTAAGATTCAGCTCCTGTGGGCTGCGTGTGTTCTGACTGGTGGTCCTGGATTGGTCTCATGGGGACTACTCTTCCTTTTAAAGCACATTTCTCAGATTTATCCCCAACTCCTACTCCACGTTCCCTCATCCCCACAGTTCATCATCCCAGAGTACCCCAGAGGTACTGCCTTCCTTTTTCCTGCGTCTTCCCCATATGTTCTTTCATAATAGTGCTTGATGGTCCAATTTTTCTAGAATTATAATGAGTGAGTTTTTCTTAGACAGCAGGAAAGACTTTTTCTGTAAATACTACCAGGAACGTGGAGAATGGGAAAGAGGGAAACATTTTCATTTTCATTTCTTTTACATTTTTGTTTGTTTATACAATAAAGAGGAAAAAAATTCACATTGCCCTATTAAAGCATTATTCTTATCTTGTATTTGGAACCTAACTCTAAGGGAATCTGCATAACATACCTTGACACAATGTGGTATACTGGAAAAAAGTCTCCACATTTATTAGAAAAGTCATTCAAATACATTAACATCATTGTTTCACCTGTGAAGGCATCTCCAACCCCTCTAGATGAAACTGAACATCTGTGCTGTCTGTGGTCACTATGCCTATCACATCCTTCTCCTTTAACATCTATCTTACTATTTTGCGTTTACACAATTTTGTGTTTTCTGTAGTAGTCTTCAAATTTCTCAAGGGTAGAAGTGCTGCTGCTTTTACCATAGTATACTGAGGGTGAAGCAAAATATCAGGGAAATGGAAGTGCTTAATAAACATTCATTGAAAAATTCTTTAAAGATCGTAAAAAAACTTCAGTTCATTCAAAGGTTATTGGACACTTAATATGTATGAAGTAGATGTATGCGAAGTTACATAATTTCCCAGTTTGACCAGGTTAGGGAATTTTTGGTGTCTAATCAACTGAAGCTTCAGCTTTGCCGTTGAATAAGACAAACTATTCTGGGATTTGAGTCCCTATGTGGCATAAAAAAGGACCCAGGTTCAAGTTACCACTGTCACTAATTAAGTGAACTGTGGCAATTTGTGTAATCTTTGGGTCCCATGTCTTCTTCCAAAATTAGTGAAACAGAGAATTATTTCTAGTTCACTTAGAACACAAAATTCTATGCTTTCATGTGTCAGAATGGTATGTAGATGTCCCAAGAAGTGGGAATATTTTACTATAAAGCTGCACCATACAGCTTTTTGAAAACAGCAATTGTGTACACTTATACAAAGAGTCATAACGTTATAAGATGAAAACTTTTCTCTCATTTTTTTTTTAAAGAAACCATCTTAGTGACAATGCAGAATACCATCAAACGCGATACCTAAACTGAGTAGACTCTCAGACTCAATACCTTTTGTAAGATTCTGTGAATTTTTTCTGTTCTTTCTTTGGGGAGAAGAAATTGGAAAATTACTGTTAGCTGACAAAGAAGGAAAATAACAGTGTGTCTTAGCCATTAACATATGATCAAATTGAGGCATTTATTTCAAAAGAGTCAGAACATCTAGTTCTAAAAGTTAGGCTTTTTGAAAAAAAAGTAGCATCTGCAAAGACAATAATATATGCGTTCACAGCCTGCATCTCAGTGATACGTTTGTGGGCACATTCCTATCATGTTAATGAGACTTTTGCCACTGCATGGTCCCAGTGACAGTTGGATCCACAAACAGCAGTTCATCAATTGATTGCAGGTGTTTCCCCTTGGAAAATAAAAACTGCATGTTCATACCAGGAGGTGAGGGAAAATCGATTTTCAACAGCCACACAATCTGGTGAGTTCTGAAATATGGCTTTGGGAAGCAAATTCTCTTGCTGCTGGTTTCATACATAAATACATTCTATTTATGAAATATAGAGCCAAAGACAGCAATAGTAATAAGGATTCATAAACTGAAACTTAACTACCGTACACCTAGAAAGGGACAAAACCTTATTTCCTAATTAATAGAAAATAAAATCTGAAAATAATAAATGTCAGTATCCATAATTATTCTTTTGGAAGTCATTTATATCCACATTATATTAAGTTCCTCTCTAAAATATTCTTTAGCATCCATAGAGGAACAATTTGATGAAAAACATGCCTAATTTCAATGTAGAAGCCTGCCCAGTAACGTACGTAATCTTATATTCACTAAGTTTAAGATTTCATTGTATATGTTGTTTGATCTCTCCAATAGATGCTTGACTCAGTCACACTTTATTGGGCCTCCTGACTTTGTCAAATGTGACTTTCTTCTTGGTAAACCTCTTTAGACTTTTAGTGAAGACCTACTTTTTCTCCCAGTTGGTCTGCCTACCTTTATCCTTTCTCACCACAGTCTGCTGTAGATGACTCCACCAACACCATCTTTCATCAGCATTTTTTCACACCTTGGGCCAGCTGTCTTAGGGTCTAAAGAAGAATACTGTTATACCCAGGAAACCTAATTTCCAAAGTTGAAATTTATTCCTTGGAAAATAATTACACATAATGGGCTACTTATGAATGGTAGTTTGCATGCTCAGTGACAAATTTACAAATGTATTCCTGTTCAAATACCTGTTGAAACCCAGAACCCTAGGGCTTGTTTCCATGAATGTTTCCTAGTTTCTAATATGTGAAATATAAGAACCATATGTTTATGAGATATCTTCATGTTCTCAACTATATCCATCTCAGCTTCAGCACTACTGACATTTGGGGACAAATAATTCCTTATTAAGGTGTTGCCCTATGCATTGTAGAATGTGTAGCAAATCACTGGCCTCTGCAAACCGGATGCCAGGAGCAACCCTTTCCGGTACTCCCAGAGTTGTGTCTCCATATGTCTCTTTGGGGCCAAAATTATTCCTAGTTGAGAATCATTGATCTAGAGCCTTCATGGAGGAAAATATTTCACCTGCCTCTCTCTCTGTGTACATTATCACAAGTGGCAGCAGGAAATTAAGAAACAGAACTCTTCTGCTCATTTCCTCTGCCAAATTTTGAGGACCATGCCAGTTTGAGAGAGAGTATTCTGAGTTACTTCTAGTTAGGAGCAGGAGACCTATCTTTTAGTGGTTTTGTTTTCTCACTACTTCTGCGATTTTGAACAAGTTTCTAAAACTCTGAAGACTTTGGATTCCTCATTTACAAATTACAAGTATTGACAGGATAGAATGTTCCATGTTCTTTATAATGCAGTGAATGTATGCTACCTGCTTTACTCATTTGTTTTAAGGATAAATGGTGATACATACAAATAAAATCAGAAGTTTACAGTTAAAATGCCTGTAGAAATGTAAGCACTACCTATTCAGGTCATTCCTCATATCTTCCAATCTGTTATCTTTCCATCCCTTCATAAGCCCAACTTAAAACATTCTTTCTAGAAGCACTTTCTCAGTTAAGTTGTCCCTAATTCCAAATTGTGTAACTCTTCTTTTGGAATTTTCTTCAGAGCCAGTTTATGAGTCATTCAAGGAAATAAGACTCATTACTTTGGGATCACACCTGGTTTGGAACCCCAAATAGAATTACAGGGCTTTATCACTCACTTAATTCACTAGATTTGGTTTAAAAGGACTTCCAGTATTTCTAACATGAAAATCAATGTTCAAAAGATGAAGATTTGTCACCTTTGCCTAAGATGGAAAGATTGTGCCATAGGCTGTGAAGAGAATGGCAAAGGGGAGACTTCATATGGTTTTGAGGCACAGAACTTTGAGAGACCGAGTATACTGGTAGTGAAAATAATCACTTTGAAGGTGGATTATTACTATTCGAGTTTAATTTGAACAACTTGTTGCACAAATGCTTCTGAGTCATGTGTGTGTATGAGGTTATTTATCCTTATGTATCTGTTTTGCCTGTTAATTTGTGGCTCCTGTCCTCAACTTTCTCCTCCTGTTCTGTGTGCTCTCTTGGCTTAGCTACCACCTTAGTTAAAACTGACTCTGTTTTTAACCTGTGCTTTCTCTTATGCAGTTCAATGTGGCCAAAGTAAAACACACATCCTCCTGATAGTCTCACTTTAAATCCTTAACCAGGAACCCCAAGTGAGCTATCAATACTGCCTGACAACCTTCTTCTATTTCCCTAGTTCATGGATGTATCTTTCTTCCAACCTAGACTATGCTTTCTTGCCTCCTTTTTTTTAAACCTCTCCTACCTTCTCTCTCACCATTACTCTGAACTGATGACCTTGATTTCTACCATACTGAGACAAATGAAGTAATCAAGAGAATGTCTGCAGACCCCATCATGTCTTGAGTCCCCCTTCCA